CTAATTCATCAGTGTTGGGAGGCAATCAGGAATTGCTTCTAAGTAGGATTTTACTACGTGGCTCTCCATTTTCTAAAGGTAATGGTTTCCATAACCCTAGAAAAAAAGAGTGCTAAATTTAGTGAGTCACATTTTTTTCTATTATAAAGTTTAGAGATTTTTCAAAGACAGTAGATCTTTCCAATCTATTTGTCAGACCGCACTAGTGCCCTGTGACTAATACTTGGTGTGTGATTGTACTGGGGAAAAAAGGTTTTCTGTGAAGTTCTGACAGTCGATTTTTCCCTAAAGAAACCATATGCTCACTTATGCATTTTGTGTGGTCTTCTCATGCCAGTTGATCTTCCTTTTTTAAAGGAATACCAAACCAGGTCACTGGCTTTTCCTTCTCTCCCTCCTTCTCTTATTCCTTACTTTCTTCCTATAATAAATAAGATTTATTAAACACCTACTAAGTGCTACGTACTTAAGAGCATAAATGAATGAGCAAAATTACTTAGATATATGGAATACAAAGATGTAGGGAATAAACTGAGTATTACTAAAAGATCCATGTAACAAATATTGATCAAGGACAATTCATGATCATCTTGCTTCTAAAGGCCCCTGTTTCATTTTTCTCATAGATTCATCAGGGGCATAGGATCCCAAGAAAACTGAGAAATGTTTAAATGTTACAAAGAATAAGAGTCAGGAAGCATTAATCTAAGACATGATTATCCAACCTGAAAGCAGAAGATTTTAAAATACTTTATTTTACATAAATAAGATCTAACTCTCCTCAATATTTTCAACCTTTTAATTTTTATATAATTCTAAACTATAAACCACTCTATGGACTTTCAAGTTTCTTTCTATCATTTATATAGTATATAAAATTGTCTCCTTGAAGCAAAATCTTAGGCTTTTAAACAGAATTTTTTTTAATTGTCTCATTCATTCAACAAATACTATTTATTGAGTTCCTCTACCAGAAACTAGGTCAAGTTATGAAAACACATAGTTCCTGTCCCCAATGAGTTTTAAAAATCCTCAACATTTAATCTTTTCATAGCTTTTCAAGCATTTACTGTATCAGAGCAGAAAGAACAAAGCCTTTAGAAGTAGACAAAGTGAGATTTGAGTCCTGGCTGTATTAAGGGGTAAAGGTAAGCAAGTCATTTATCCCTTCTGAGCACTGATTTCGACCTCTGTAAAACGAGGATAATATCATCTACTCTGAAGAGCTGTTGTAAGTATAATTAAAGTGTCTAGGAGGAGGCTTGACCTAAAGACAATCTATTATATTATTTTTCATTTCTAAACAACCACTGAAAAACTCCAAGCATTTATACTAATAGTGAATATACTATCTTTCAAAAATGCTATCTGAACTATATTATATATGCATATAGGCATGTAAGAAGTGCAAAAATTTAATCTGATGCTATACACTTCATACCATCTTATAAATATCCAATGTATTTCCAATTAACAAAGAGAAAAGTCAAAATCCATTTTGAAAGAATAACATTAAATAAATCATATGCACAACATATTAAAGATCCTCCCAAATAAGTATGCTGTTTCTTCTCAAGTATACATGGCTTAGCGCTGTTAAGGGCTTCCACGGACCTAGCTTAGATTAATCAAGAAATTACTTCGTAAGCCTGGAGTTCCTAGATTTTAACCTCAGAGGCTCAGCGGCTGCCCTAAAGGGTAGTTCTAAGAACTGAGACTCCCCTTTCTGAAAAAGAACAGCATCCATGAAAGCTTTTAGAGCAATAGCTTCTGACTTGTTAAAGATACCTAAGAAAAGACCAAATCATCTTTTGAACCAAGCATAACCCTCCCACAAAACTTTCCTGTAATAAAAATATTTTAATGCTCTGAAGGAATTAACATGCCTATCAAAGTGCTAAATTAGAAGGTGACTTTTGTGGTAAGAAGGGACCTTAAGCTTCGTGCTTTTCCCATCCTACCCCCAGCAATTTAACAAAGAGGAAACTGAAGCTGAGAGGAATTTTCCCAACACACATGGCTACCTAACGGCAGAGACTGGAGCAGAAAGAATTCAACGTATCTGACTTCCAACCCAGTGTTCTGCTCACAAGAGCAAGCTTCCAAATCTATTATAATGAAAGAATGATTATATGCACATCTTGCTAAGACAAAAGAAAAAAAAGTTCTGAAAATGTTTCAGTTATTATTTAGTGGGCTCTCAATAGATAAACTTTTAACCAATGTGAAGAAAATCATGAGGACATTATTCTAAAAACTGAATAAGCATTACCAGCTTTTCTGAATTTGAGGGACATTAAAAATTTCTGTGATTGCTTCTAAGTCACTTTTTTAAAAAAGTTTCTGAAACAAAGCAAGCAAGCAAATCAACAAACAGTTGGAAGAACTGATGATTTATCTGCCACCAAATTCAGAATTCTTTCTAGAACATTCTGACAACTGACCGACCAGCTCTGTTTGAATGTTTTCAGGGATACAGAGCTTTATCAAAGGAGTGTAGGCCGTCTCCATTATCACACAGCTTAGCATTCCAAATGAAACCAGACCAGCTTCACTGTAGAGTTCTACCCATTAGAACCAGTTCTGCCCTCCAGAACAATACTAAATTAGTCTAGTATCTTTCTATATTTCATGTTCAGCTTTTCAAATATTTAAAGCTAGTGATCAGTCTAGAAGTCCCCTTTTCTTCTTGATAAATATAGCTAGAATATTAAAAAGTACTTGGAAATAGCACATATAAATCATATTCAGCTCCATTAAGCTTAAAAAAAAGGTTTATCCAGTTCCAAGTATTGTGCTAGGTTCTGGGACTACAAAGAGAAATAAGACATAATCCTTGCCTTGGAGGAGCTGACAATATAGTGGGGAAGTAAAAGCATATACAGAGATAACTTCAACCTAATAACAGCAAGTGCTAAAATAGAGTCATGTCCAATAACAGTTGCACACCAGATTAGGGAACAAGGAAGAGATCAGGGTGAAGGATACAGAGAATACAACAGCAGGCATTTTGCCAGTCACAAATTTAGATCCAAAGTCCTGGGTTGAAAACTCTACATAAAATAAACAATAGTTAACCCTAATCCAAACAAAATGTGCTTGATGGTTCTTACTAATCATACAGAGAGGAAAATAAGGGATTGAAAATACCAAAACATACTTTCACATTAGCAACATTCCAAGTGCACATTTAAGCAATACATATTTGCTAAAATAAAGTATTCCAAAGTAGATCTTAAACTCAATGATATTATATAGATTCATTAGGTAAGAGACTGGTTACTAACTGCTAATGTGAAGAGTAAAGTGTGTGTTAACAAGGAAATTATTTGGTACGACATCCAAGAAAGTATTCTTCTCCTTCAATAATATATTTTTTTGCCCTGAAAATTCAAAGAATTAAAACATGAATGTTCAGGATTTCCAAAACAATGGCAAATACAATTTATTGTTGGAATGTTAATTTTTTCCTTGACCAAGAAACTCATTAAAGATGGAATTTTGTTGAACAATACTTAAAGTGAAATAGCTCATATCTCGAGTATCAGTTAAACTTTATTAAAGCTGTCATCTTTAAATTATTTTGAACTATCACAGATAAGAAATAAGATTAAAATTTCCTCTGACCATACCTTCTTGAATAAGATCCAAAGTGCATATCAACCTTCTCTGTATTTAACCTTAAAGTAAAAGTATTTATTTAGCACTCCAGTCAATGGTAAAAGAAAATTAAGATATTGTTCAGCATTTGTAACTTCTTTACAACATATACAAACGTGATTCCCATAGTATTTTGGATTTAAATGTTTAATACATTTAGTCAATAACTATCAATAATTAAAAGTAATTTTTGTTTCTACATAGTTCTTGATATCAGGATCATTTTTTTTTAATTTAATTTAATTTTTTTTGTTACGCGGGCCTCTCACTGTTGTGGCCTCTCCCGTTGCAGAGCACAGGCTCCGGACGCGCAGGCTCAGCGGCCATGGCTCACAGGCCCAGCCGCTCCGCGGTATGTGGGATCTTCCCGGACCGGGGCACGAACCCATGTCCCCTGCATCGGCAGGCGGACTCTCAACCACCGCGCCACCAGGGAAGCCCCTGAGGATCATTTTTTAATGGGAACAAGATGCAAGATAAATGTGAGAATACTTTTCATCTGTCTCAAGTTTGTTTATTCTTTTTTTATAAATTTATTTATTTTATTTATTTTTGGCTGTGTTGGGTCTTCGTTGCTGTGCACGGGCTTTCTCTAGTTGTGGCGAGCGGGGGCTACTCTTTGCTGTAGGATGCAGGCTTCTCACTGCGGTGGCTTCTCTTGTTGCGGAGCACAGGCTCTAGGCACTTGGGCTTCAGTAGTTGTGGCTCGCGGGCTCTAGGCACTTGGGCTCAGTAGTTGTGGCGCATGGGCTTAGTTGCTCCGCGGCATGTGGGATCTTCCCAGACCAGGGCTTGAACCCGTGTTCTCTGCATTGGCAGGCGGATTCTTAACCACTGCGCCACCAGGGAAGCCCAAGTTTGTTTATTTTTTAAACCACGTGGTCATTTTCAATTTCTTGGTTACAAAAGAAGATTGCCTTTCCACACCTGACACAGCCATGGAACACCACTCCCTCTAAAGCAGTACATGCCACTGGGGGTGATCAGGACAAACGTAGAGGAGAAATACTTCAGAATCACCTGGAGAGTTTTTCCAAGCGGTACCTCACCACTATTACAACTACAGAAAGCCCATGCTTTAGAGGTGTGTGGCAGACCTAATAACAAGATTGAAATCAAGGGTTTAGCTGCAACTGAATTTAGAAACTATTGTCCTACAAGTGCTAAAAAGGATTTAAAAAAAAAAAAAAAGAGTAATGAGGACAACACACAGGGCTTCTGAGACACCTATGTCTACAGAGGTTCAGGTTCCCAGCTAGACCTGTAGTAAGGCAAGAAGCCAAAGGAGGAAATCATTTCCATCACATTTATGCATAAGCAGTGCACTTTCAATTGCTTACCTCCAATATTATGAATTATTATGGTGCCTGCTGCCACCACCTAAAAAACAACAAATGTATTCAGAAGATGAAAGGGGAAATAATACAAAAGGATCAGTATTTTATTAAAATCCAATAACTATGACTTAAAAACAGATGCAGAAATTGAGTGACGAGAAACTGAAAAGAATACACTTTGCCAGCCATTTGTAATATATAAAACTAACAATCATCACATAAAAAGCCTTTCTTTAATAGTTCCATGGTTACTATAAAGAACACTTTTGTAAGTTTTCTTAGCAGTCATTTTTAAATAGTTAAAAGTGTTAAAAAGCTAGTAATCAATGGTTATCAAAGTACCAAAAAACTGAAATTGAATCTATCTGCTCTCATTCTCCCTTTTTTACTGGTTTTATCACTTTGCTTTGTTAGGTAGACTGAGACAGTCTCAGGTGTGTTGTGTCAATGCCGTACTGCATAGAAGGGAATAATATAGTCTGCGGAGTGTATCAGCTTGGCATACCCCAAGCCTTGAACATCCCTGTCGCAGGGATTAATACAGTCTAGAGGAGAAAACTCTATAGAGCCCACATATTCTCACATCTGAAAATTGAAGCAAAATGTTTTAAACTCAATAATATGAAGTAGACTGAGTGCAAGACAACAAGAGGTGGTAAAGAGTGTAATATATTGGAGAAGTCCTCCCGTTTCAAAATGGGGCAGCTGCTGCACAGCTCTGGCCAGTGGCTGACATGTGAGAATGTGAATCCAGTGTAGCTCAATCTTCTGCTTTTTCAAGAAAAGTCAGAAATTGAATCCTTTTAAAATGTCATAACTCTTTGTTGGCAATCAGCTAAAAATAAAAAAGATTTGAGCCAAACAAAATATGCCTGAGGACTATGTTCAGCCTGCAGGCTTGCTAACTTGTGATCTTTGATGACATTCCTGGGAAACTCAAGATAACACTTTATCCATTCTTGGTCATCAGGTGTACTCAGGAGAAATGATTAAACATTCTGCTTCCACTTGGGCCTTTCAGTCACTTATATCTTGGTGGATCTGTACCTCCAATGTATGTTTCGAGATGACTAGCTATCTAAGATCATTACTACATGGACTGGGAAGAGATGACCCTTCCTCTCCTAGAAATTCCATCAGTGACACAGCATTTGCCTATCCTGGGAATAAACTAAGTTACTGAGACCTAGAAGCCTTGGGGTCTGGAAAGCAGGGATAATGATAGAAACACTTGGCAAGGTGTCTTTGAATGTGGTAACTCCACTCTAACATTTTCCAGAAAAATCTCTACATATCAACCCATTTAAAAATTAGTTCCAAAGTGTCACTCACAGTTATTTGTGAAAAGACTTTTTTGAAATTTTTGTATACTATTTTTCATATGCAATTGATACCTATTGTCAATCACACATGAAATTTGGATTTTTCTAAGAATATACTGCAAAAAGCAATAATATCAGCTTAGTGATGACTATCTTCCCATTTTTTTGTCTGAATTTAAGCATTTTTGATCTAGAAAGTCAGTATATCTTTCTATCAATCTATCGATCTATCGATATTTCCAGTGCCTAGCACAGTGCATGGCACATGGTATTTGCTCAATAAATATTTGTTTGACAAGTACATAAATCCATTTATAAACAATTAAAATTTTTCCTTAAAAAGTTCAAAGCATTTCAAAAATATTTAATTTTCAGAACAATGTTGCCCTATCATATGTCATATCCATATTCATATAATATCTGGAAAGAAAGAAATAGGAAAGTTTCGACCCAACTGTGGAAGTTGAGAGAAAATATTAAACAAACAAACAACTCCTCATTTAGAGTATTCTCTGTCTGTGTATCTGCCTACTAAGAACTGTGTGCATACATTAAAATGATAATGCAACTATTGTAGAGTTTTAGGAAAAGGGGACTCTCAATAATCCATGTTCTTCTTGTAGAGCCTGCTGCTATCCAAGGAATGCAGGAAACACCAATGTGAAATAACAGTGATGATGCTTAGGCATGTTTACAGATTATATTAAATTAATTGGAGAGTTTTCTTATATAAATAACATTTTCTTCTTCCTTGATTAAACTGGATACAGTTAATTGATCATGATTATACCAAACATCCTGATCTTCGAGAAACGGAAATTGTTTAGATGATTAACAAAAACCTTTACCCTCAAAAGTAACATAGTTTCCATTTAGTTCAAGTTTCAGGCTATTAAAATAAGCTCCAGGGCTTCCCTGGTGGCGCAGTGGTTGAGAGTTCGCCTGCCGATGCAGGGGACACGGGTTCGTGCCCCGGTCTGGGAAGATCCCACGTGCCAGGCCCGTGAGCCATGGCCGCTGAGCCTGTGCGTCCGGAGCTTGTGCTCCGCAACGGGAGGGGCCACAGCAGTGAGAGGCCCGTGTACTGCAAAAAAAAAAAAAAAAAAAGATAAGCTCCAAACCATGAGGTTACATAGTATGATTTAAATATTCTCCTTTGTGCTTTAAAACCAAAGTTAATTTGAATGTAAATACACATTCCCCCCCCACCATTACATAGCTATATCTTTTTCCTCCCAGACTCACTTCTAAGAAGTTAGTTCGGCAACCTACAAATACAGCATCGTTTTATATTAAAAACAAAACAAATAAAAAATACAAACAACAGATTTACAAAGAAAAAGTCCTGTTTGGAGCCAACACGTAAATGGGTCTTAGAAGTATGATAGCTCTTCAGAAATAAAAAATTATTAAAGCACTAACAATAATATTTAACTACTGATTACCTGTGGAAGAAGACAGTATTTCCTCTACCCATTAAATTAGTTTAGTATGCCTATCACAGATGAATGCCCAATAAATACTGTTGTTATTTCTCTTATTCTAAGGAGGAAAAGTAGTAGATTTTGAGTCTGGAGTCCTATGTAATACTGGCCTAAGTAATTGTAGACAAATAGGCCCCTTCCCTTCTCTGGGCCTTAATTTCCTAACCTATAAATAAGGGGACATCTAGATCATCTTTTAGCACTGTTCAGCTCTTAAATGATATGATCTTATAATTATCAGTTTTTTTAAACATGCTATAAGTTTAACTCTATGCTTCTGTCTTGTCCTGTCTTCACGAGAATTTACTCAGATAATATAATCAAAATTAATAAGAAAAACTTAAAGCAGGCCATCGTTACTGATTTAAAATTATACAAGTCATTGTTCTCCTTCATTAGGGTAAAAAACACTAAAAAAATTTAAGTGTTGAATTAAATTTATCAACGCATTTTTAGGAAGGGCACAGAGATTTCTTCTCTCTCTTCCTGCTCCCATCATTCTCTTTCTTCACTTTAGTTTCCTTTTATTCCCTTAATTTCTTTCTCTTATATATACTTGTCTTTTCTAACTGGAAATGGAAGGAAAAATTCCCTTCAGGATTTTGGACACAGCAAGGAGAAAAAAATAATTACCTTTCCAGGTAATCCAAATGCAAAGAGTCCAAGATCTTCATAAGATATCACAGCTGTTAAGAGAAATTATAACTGTTATTTTTACACAAAACTATTTGTGTGCCAAGTCTTACACAGAAGAAAGCTATTCCACTACTACCTGATAGCTATTGGATTGTCACACTAAATTTAAAGCAGAAGTAATGACTTTGGGGGAAACCTGAAAACTTATGATCCATGAAGACAGCGTCCTCTTAGAATAAGTAGAGCTTAGCAATTACCAAGGTTGTCTAACAACTACCCAGGCTGCATAAATTCAAATAGAATAATTACTCAAGAACAACCCACTTCTCACTAAACAGTACTTGCAGACTACACTGTCCAAATGTAAGTTTTCATTGGCAACAGTTTCTGAAAACTGCTGTGTAAATAAAACTTGATAAAGTACAAAAGTTGTATCATACTTTCAGAGACATTCACTTTTCCAGGCTACCTAGGATATGATAATGTATTCATGATAGAAACAATACCCTCATCCTGCAATAAGGGTATATATTTTCTTTTTCATCATAAAGAGTATGAAATTACATTTTCATTCCACATGTTCAAGAAGTGTGATCACAGAAAAGATGAAAATTAAATGGCTCATAAAAGAACCAAATGTGTCCTTAGATGATAAAGCTTCATGTTATAACTAGTGATGTCACAGGTAAAAATAAGAGAAGTAAAAACATTTATATAATCCTAAATTTGAAAAGTCCTTAAACTTACAGTGCTTACACTGAAAAACAAAAAAAGCAGGTTAGCAGATACTAAGGCTTGCTAATAGCAACACACATTTCCTATTGAGTCAAAGATATGTCTCATCATTTCTTAAAGAAAGTTTTTAATATATACTCTTAAGATATACATAGGTTTCTTTACCACTACATTAACAAAAAACTCCCTTATACTTTCATAAACAAAGTCTACCACGTATGAAAAAATAAGCATTTTGAAAACCACACATGGTCTGTACATGTTATAACTATTACAAAGTCAGAAAGAAAACAGGGAAATGCTAAAAAAATAAGTTTTACTTAAAACAAAAATTTTTAACATTTTAAACTTTTTTAAACTTTATTATCAGAGTAGATAGAAGAATTTCAAAACTTTTTGGATGACACAGCTATTTTTTATTTTATTTTTTTGGCCGCATCGTGTGGCACGCGGGATCTTAGCTCTGCGACCAGGGATCGAACCTGTGCCCCTTGCAGTGGGCGCGTTGAGTCTTAACCACTGGACCACCAGGGAAGTCCCAACACGGCTATTTTTTAAAATGTATTCACATACTGCTCAACAGTGGGCAAGGACAATTTAATTTTGAATTTGGAACATATAATTTGATTATAAGTAGGAACCTTTATGCCTTAACAATGAAAGACTTCAATAATAATCTTAGAGAGGTAGACTGTAGATATATTTTAGAACATAAAATTAAAAAGCAGAGTTAAAAAACTAAGAACTGGATTTTTTTCCCTCCTATGTGAAATGCTGAAATTCTTTTTTTCAAATGCACATGTTCTAAAGTGAATGTCAACACAAAAATTAATAATTATTTCAACCAATAAATCTTTACTAGTTTGTTTTCATATTCCTAAATATAGTTAAGAGATAATATTATAATAGGGGCACAGTTTCTTATATTTAACTTCCAAAGCCTTGGTATATATATTAAACCAGAAAATTCTCTAAATGTTAGCTTCTATCTAATTTGACATTAAGAAGGTAATTTTGTTACATATTAAGTGTTTGTGAACCAAGTCTCCAGAAGGTCTCTGATCTGTCACTATGAGGCACGAGATTAAAGGAACAACATTGTTCATTTTCAGCATCCCTCTTTCATATTACAGTTGAAAGTGTTAGTTCTTTTAAAAAAACTTAAAGCAAGGAGGCTTTTCAGTGTTACATATGGAAATACACCACATAACTTGCTTTTAAAATGACCTATTTTGGGGACTTCCCTGGTGGTCCAGCGGGTAAGACTCCACGCTCCCAATGCAGGGGGCCTGGTTTCGATCCCTGGTCAGGGAACTAGATCCCACATGCATGCCGCAACTAAGATCCCACATGCTGCAACTAAAAGATCCCACATGCCGCAACGAAGATCCCCTGTGCTGCAACTAAAACCCAGCACAGCCAAAATAAATAAATAAATTTTTTAAAACTTTAAAAAAAATTAAATGATCTAGTTTGCATTAGATTCTTAGGGAGCAAGTTATCAAGATAATACTCTTTAAAAAGTTTGACTAGGATTTGTTTTATTTTTAAATAGCAGAAAACAAGTATAGATCGTATACTAGTAAACATAAAAAGCAAATAACTTTCCGATAAGCAAAAATAATATTGAAATATTCCAAAAAGAATTGGTATTTCAATTATCTAAATTTAAATAAATTAAACATTTATTCTTAATTTTTAAATTAGAACATAACATTTATTAGTCCAGAAAATATAATCAAACTAACAGCTTAATGAAGATAGTTGTAATTGCAACTTCTGACAATAGTGGCATACATTTTAGCAATTTCACATTTGTTCTCTATTATTTTCTGGTGTTATAAAAATATCTTTAAGTACAGCAAAGTCCCAAATTCAGAGTGAACAAAGTTTAGACTTTTAAATGGAGACTTACTACTATGTTCAAATCCTAACTCTGCCGTTAAGTCAGCAGGTCTGGCTAGTCATTCAGTTCTGTCACTGTCATCTTACTTCTTTTATGTTGCAAAAATTAGAAGTACTTTTCCAGGTCTGAGACATCATTAGTACGAACAATGGCTTCTGGCTTAACTTCGAGGCTTTGCTTAGATAAAATATGTACACAGTCAGTCAAATGCTTTATCTCCACATATTTACTTTTTAATGGTTTTCTGGATCATCTTGACATACAAACCAAAACAACACTAGTGAAATACTTTGAAAATTCTGTTCTACCATTTGGACAATTAAGATGCTGGTAACAGTGTAAATTGGAACCGACTTTGGAATGTAATTTGACCAACGAACCTTGAAAATATTTATAATATTTGACCCCTGGGAGCTTGCATCTTAGGAAATAAGGCTAACATCAGAGAAATCATTATATGCAAAGATACTCATTGTGTATTATTTAGATTGAAAAAAAAGACTACGTAAATGCTCAATAATGGTAAAGTGGTTAAGTAAATTATGGTAGGCATATCTAGTAGAATAATATGTAGCCATTAAAAACTATGTTTATAATAACATGAAAAATGTCAATATTAAGTGAAAAACATAGGATTTGATTGAATATGATCTATAAAGCAAAACACTTTCCTATGATCAATGTTTTAATATCTTATTTATAATGTAAAAGATGTTTTGAGAGATATCAAAATGAGACGTGGGGATGGCCAGTCACATTAATAGCAAATTCTTACAGAAGAGGAATAACATTAATTATGAAAATTATGGATTTAATTCGGCCTTTTACAGGAATTCATACAAGCAGTACTTGGCACAATCCTTAAATAAATAACTGAAAGCAGTCATTAGCAATCTATTTTAGGAAATTATTTTTTGATATTGAAGAAATCAATGCTATGGTTTTGAGGGGATGGAAAGGCTGTAAATCTTAATCAAGTAAATTGGGAAAAAATTTCTTCTTTAATGTACCATCAAGGCACACTTTAGTGCTATTTTGGCTAGACCAAGAGTTTGGCCTCCACAGGAATCGTTTGGAAAGCTGCTTCCCATGAAGTAGTGGAATATTTCCAGCTAGTTACTCCAGTGTTCCGTCTGCTTTGCATTTTTTCCTCAATGAAATAGGACAATTAATAAACTCTGGTTACAGTACAAAGCCCAAGTTTCAGCAGCAGCAATATTATCTTTGGAACTGGATTGAGGGACATGAGTTACTCAAATACAGTTCAACTCTCAGAAAGCAGGCCATTTGGAATGCACCCTTATTTTGAAATTCTTTTCTTTCTCATGTTTTCCTTCATTTTCCTCTTGTCTTTTTTCTCCGTAAGAGTGTCATGCAAGCCATTCATTTATGGAACGTCTACTATGCAATTGTATCACCACTTCTGGTCCTTCTTAATATGTATGTAAATGTCAGTTTACCAACTAAATGTGGCATGATTTTAGAGCACCTGATGTAGCAAAAGAAAATAGAATGCTAGAGTAGAAGGAACATTCTCCTTTCAATTTCACAGAGGTGAGATACTGCAGGCAGAAAAAAAGTTCTAGGATCCCAACATATTGCTTGGCTCTGCAATGAACAAGATTTACAGTCATTCATATCCTATAAATGCTATTCACTGGTTTTCAACTTTAGACTCAACTTATACATACAAAATGAATGACTTACATATGATTACAAAACAAAGTAAATATTGTCAACCTTGACAATATAAGGGTACAGCAGAAGGACTATGGGAAATAGAAAGAGAACAGGGGAAAGCAAGGACAGGAGCACTAATACATACAACATAGCAGAGTCAAGACACACCATCTAAAGTCCATGAAACAAAAATAAAACTTTAAATATATTGTTTATATTGAGCCTGCGCTCTAGAGCCCATGAGCCACAACTACTGAGGCCCACGTGCCTAGAGCCCGTGCTCCACAACAAGAGAAGCCACAGCAATGAGAAGTCCACGCACCGCAACGAAGTGTAGCCCCCACTCGCCGCAACTAGAGAAAGCCTGCACGCAGCAACGAAGACCCAACACAGCCAAAAATAAATAAATAGATAGATAAATTTTAATAAATAAATAAATAAATGTATTGTTTACAGTTACAAATAATCAGTGAAAGAATTATTGAATACAAACTAATGAAAATTAGAAGGGGAAGGATTAGTGCACCTGAGCTAAATCTTCACCTTTCATAATGAGGTGTCAACAGATAAAATTTAAATCAATAAATAACGGTAGAAGAATATTATTTAGACTTAGGAAGGTAACTCCCCAAAAGAATTCAAAACGAAAACTCTAAATGTTGCTAACCCTGTGAAATGGAAATGGAACTAGATGTGGGGAAGAATGAGCGGGGAAGTGCTTCAAGTCCT